CAGCGTACTGAGTCCTCAAGCGGCTGCAGATGCCGGGCTGGTACGACCGGCGCGGCTCATTGAAGCTAACACGGTGGTGGGGAAATCCTTACTGCCTGTACATGACAATGTGGTCACAGAAGTCAAGGATCGGACGCGTCGCGTAGACTACGCCGTGGCGATAAACCCAGATACGATGAGCCCAGATACGATGAGTTTGTTAAGCTTCAGGGACTACCGGAGATTCATGAACGAGGCTGATGTCTACCACGTGGACTACGAGGACCGCTTAGCTCAGAAGAAGGTACAGGAGAGCGTTCCTGTGATCATAGGCGAGGAAGCCGAAGCAAAGAGCCGTAAAGAACAGCAAGACGCGTTTGTACGAGGAACGAAGCACCTGAGTGAAGAGGATCGTGACTTGTTGTGGGCGCTGGTATTAAAGTATGAGCAGGCATGGCTCGCGCCGCGGGTTGGCACGTTGGTTACAAAGTGAAGTTCGAGGTCACGGGTAAACCGTTCAAAGCGAGATTTCGACATTACGAGCCAAGCCAAAGGGAAGAGCTGAGCCGACAGATCGAGGCACAGCCGACACGTTTCCATTTCTGGTCTGGGATAGACAGTGTATGGTTGTTCAACGTATAACCTAGTAGATCTGTACAGTTAAGTTGAGACTTCTCAGTGTTGATTTGGAAGTTTTGCTTGGCTAGATAGTCGATGGTTTGCTGGTATCGGCGTTTAAGTTGTTGTGGATCGGAAGCGGCCACGAATATGTCATTTTGGTAGTACCTTATGTCGTGTGCGAAAGGTAGCTTGCTCAGTAGTATGCCCATTACACCATGAAAGTGTTTGGGAGCATTTGTTGCGCCCATTGGCATCGTGGTATATGCGTAATAGCTTCCTTCTAACTCGAAAGCATAGGCTCCGATTTGGTCGTCAGCGAGTGGTATAGAGTGAAACGCCTTCTTTAGATCTATCTTCGCTAGATACGGTTGCTGTGCGGCCCGTGTCACTATTGGCCAGCAGCCCTGAACGTTTGGGAATCTGCCGTCAGTCGTAATGAAAGGTAGTAAAGGTCGGCAGTCGTGCGTTATTCGTTCGTTAACTATCCGGACGGGTAGTGTAAAGTTAGGCTTATGTTGTAGCTTGCGGATCTTTCCCTGTTGTAGCAGGTTCTGTCCGGCTGGGTTTTTGGGGGAAGACATATCTATCACTTAACATTCCGCCGTTACGTATAATGAGTGTCCGAGGGGAGGGGGGAGAGTCTGACAGCGAGAAGTGACGGTAGGTCAGCGGGTTGACGAGGTTGGGTCTACACAGACACGCCCGGTCCACGAGCTACTCAGCTCAAGTGGTGAGCGGGATCGTTATTTGTGGACACCGACATTTTTCGGCGACCGAAACGAGTCCAAAAAAAATGTTTTTTTGATGAGAATATGTCGGAAAGAGTGGCCGCCCGGACGCACGTACACTCTACAACTACTTCAAGCCCTATTACTCCACGTAGTGAAGTGGGTGACGAATCAACGTGGACAGAAGGGCTAGCGCACTGGCACCACCATGTGAGTTGAACAAGTCAAGGCGAAGATGCACTAGCGAGAATGATAGGATGCTGTGGGAGTTGGCTGCGAAGGGGATGTCGAAGAGGTACTACACAAGTATGAGAGCCGCGGGTGCCCGATATTGGGGCGGTAGGTCATGGTGACAGTCCGGCGACGCAGTAAGGGCATACGGAGCCTCTCCCCCTCTGGGATAGTTCCGTTACCCATGGAAAGTTCGACTGGCTGCCGACCTTTCTTTCAACGAGGTTATCCCACCCGGGGCGACAAGAGGTGGACTGGACGAAGTTCTGCGACGATTGGATGGGTCTCGACAGGGTAAACCAAGATGGTTCGGATACTTGTCCGGAACGTTTGTCCGGGTCAGGGGTCCGATCCGAACGTTATCTTTGGGGTAGGTGTCCGAACGCTTTTGGGTTATCTGATCGAGACTCACTCAGATCTAGAGCAGGGCAACATTCCTGGGTATGATGCCGGGGGGGAGGGACAGCGCCAGGCCTTTATTATTATTTTCGCGCCTGAAGGATACAACACCCTGTGTGCACTCTGGATCATTAATTGCACTGAGGTGAGCTCGCATTGCACGCTCTCTAAAGTCCGTTTCCCTTGCATACCTGCTAGTTAAAAAAATACTACATTACAATTCCGCTAATCCTCCCGATGCCGTCTCCTACGACCTTCGGCCCTTCTCTAACATTCAACAAAATAATCTTCATGGCTGATTGACTTCTTGCTTTATTTACCGAGTAACAAACGTGTACGGGTCCACTCTTCCATCTACTCTTCTCTCTGCTTCTTAGAGATACGTCCCTGGAAGCCAGATTCGCTCCCGCGGGATACCCAGTAGACTGTTGAAAAGTTACGAACAGGTACAATCCAGGTTAACTGCAGAACGGCTGCTGACCGTTGATGCACTTTATCAGATCCTCGCCTGTCTTCAACTTCAGGTCTGAACACCACATACTCAAGGGATTACCAGGAGCATAACTGGTGCAGAATTCACGACATGCATCGACCCATTGGGGCTCCGCCTTAATCTTAGCCTCACACTTCTTAACCATTTCCTCGGAGTCATTCCCTTTCTTTGTGGTAGTAGTTCTCATACCCTTGGTGGTAGTAATCTTAGGCTCTGTCTTGGTTCTGGTCGTCTCAGGCTCGGTCTTGGTTCTGGTCGTCTTAGGCTCAGCCTTGGTTCTGGTCGTCTTAGGCTCAGCCTTGGTTCTGGTCGTCTTAGGCTCGGTCTTGGTTCTGGTCGTCTTAGGCTCGGTCTTGGTTGTAGTGGCGGGTTCGCTATTGGTCGTAGTGGCGGGTACGGTGGTATCATTTCCCTTACCGCCGCAGGCTACGCGTTCGAAGGTGATGGGAGCGTTCTGCACAGTACAGCTGATGTTCTTATCGCCTTCGATGATTCCGTACTCACACTTCTCGGGTTCAGGGGCGCAGACGCCAGTCCCGGCACAGACGTACGGACACAAGTTAAGCCACGCGGCCTGTCCCATCTCGAACTTGGTTTCGGAACCATTGGTGTCAAGCGTCCTCAAGTAAGTGGTCTTCACCTGTCCGCCATCATACTTCATGTCTACCTTATAGCAGTTACCACAGTTCTCTTTATTCACATCCCAGCCTGCATTAAAGGTAGACAGGCACGGCCGATCAGCCGACTCACCACATGGTCCATCAATCTCCCAAGTCTCCACGGGATGATCGCAAGCTCCAATGTCACCCTCGTAGTAAATATGACAACGACCTAAACATGATTGAGATTGACCCATCGGGTCTGAGCCAGAGACACAAGTACCGTCACTGAACTCGGCAACGGCAACAACACTCAACAGAACAAGTTTCATCTCTCTCTTCCTCAACGGTCCTTCGAAATACAACACACAAATTGATGAATAAAATAGTCCACTGAGTCTACCCCAGAAATGAAGCAAGAGGAAGACTGCACGTCCCCCCCCCGGTCGCCCGCCTCCCCGTTCCCC